CATGGCTGGAATGACTCACCAACATCCAACAATTATGCCAGTCCCGGGAAGAGCAGAAAGATGGGGAAACAGGCTCTCTTTTCGCAAGTTATCCCCAGTTTTGTTATCCCCACTAGAGACCAGAGAGGAGGACTTAGTATTCCCATTGTATTTAGACTAAAAGATGAAGAGATTTGCTCAGGGTCATACAGCTGGTAAGACAGAGCAGGAATTTGAACCCAGCTCTGTTGACCTCAGAGCCTCTGTTCCCGGGAATGAAAAAGCAGCATAACTCAGTGATTAAACACATTGAATTTAATGTGCCCAATGGAGATGAGGGGAGGTGAGGATAATATAATTATTTATCGAGTGCTTACTACCACACACCCTGCCAGGTATCAACTCATTCAATACTCACAAAATCTTACGGATGTAGTTACAGTTATTATCCCCATTTTATAGGTGATGAAACCAAGGCAGGGAGAGGCAGGATAATAATAAAATCTACTTAATAGGACCATGGAGAGTAAATGAGGTAATGCATGGAAAGCCCATAGTTTAGTGCCTTCATGACACTGGTTAAGTACTTAAACTGTAGTTAACGATAATGATAATAATGTTGGCAAGATAAGGGCCTTAGAGATCATCTAAACCAGAGACCTTAAACTTTTTGTCTTAAAAATTAAATATGGACCCTATAGGGGATATTTGTCGTGTCTTGTGGATGCCCGGCATCTCTGAACACCGCTTCTGGAAGTTCCATCTCTCCAATGTGGAAGCAAAAATTAACTTTGCCAAGTTCGCTTGCAGCGAGGATGTGTGAAAACATGAACCTGGGCTCTATCAGGTTGATCTGAAGGCAATGAGGACTGGCTAGTATTACAAAAGTGACTCTAGCCACCGCCATGGTGTGTGATGGTGAAGCAGTGGTTAATTAAATTGTTGCCTGTTGTCAGTTGGAATGAAGTTCCCGTTGAAAGTAAGGCTTTAAGGACCAAATGTCTAGTGCCATAAAATGGCACAAAAGGCAGAAGGAATACCAGTATTTGGGGCGGAGTAACTTCTGCATGTCCTAGAGAATTTAGGGAAATAATATGGCAAGCTCAGAGGCATAATTTATTGGCACAAGACATGGCCAGAGAATCAGGAACTTTCTATGACTAAACTGTGAAGAATCTCTCATCTCTTACTGCTGAAGAGACGAATGAGCCAATAACGGAAATACAAGTTTGAGAATGCAAGTTGCCCTATCACAACATCAGTTAATTTATAGCCTTACCTCACGTGCGCACATGCACGCACACACACACATCTACTAACGTTAAACATACACCCATCCTATGACTCAGCAATTCCATTTCTGAGTATACACTCAAAAGAAATAAGAAACACTCAACAGAAATATGTCCACCAAAAGACGTGTACAAAATCATAGCAAGTTTATAATATCGCCAAACTGGCTACAATCTAAAAGTCAATCAATCATAGAACTGACAAATAAATTCATATATATCTCATGGAATACTACACAGCAATGAAAAAGAACAAACTAATGCTAATTGTAAAACCATGAGTGAATCTCACAGACATATGTAGAGCAAAAAAAAAAGGCAGACCCAAAATAACAATACATACATACTTCATGATTTTATTTATATGAAGTTCAAAAACAAGTAAAATTAATCTACTCTGACAGTAGTCAGAAGAGTCATTACCTCTGGGTAGGAGGCTACTGGCAGGGAGGGAGTGTGAGAGAGCCTTCTGGGTTCCTGGAAATGTCCTATATCTTATATCTTGTTCTACCAGTGGTAATACAGAATATACTTACAGATCCTCCCCTACTAACAATGGGGTTATGTCCCAATAAACCCATTACAAGTTGAAAACATCTTAAGTTGAAAATGCATCTAATACACTCAGCTACTGAACGTCATAGCTTAGCCCATCCTACCTTAAACGTGCTCAGAACCCTGACATTAGCCTACAGTTGGGCAAAACCATCTAGCACAAGGCCTATTTTATAATAAAGTGTTGAATACCTCATGTAATGTATTGAGAGCTGCGCTGAAAGTGAAAAACAGAATGGTTGTGTGGGTACAGAACGGTTGTAAATGTATCAGCTGTTTATCCTGGTGACCTCGTGGGAGGGAGCTGCGGTCAGTTGCTGCCACGCTCAGCATCACAAGGGAGTATGGAACCAAATATGCTAGTCCAGGAAAAGATCAAAGTTCAAAATCTAAAATATGGTTTCTACTGAATGTGTACCACTTTCACATCACCGTAAAGTCAAAAAATTGTAAGTCGAACCCTCACAAGCTGGGGATCATTGGCATATATATTCACCTTTTCATATATGCATATACACATACATATATATTCATGTATATATTGTGTATATACATTCATTCAGCTGTACACTTAAGATTCACATTTTCATAGCTATATCAGGCCTCTGGTGACATATGAAAGTTGAAGGATTGACTTAGAAAACATGCATCCTAAGAATTGTAATAAAGACGTATGTGGAGCTTTCGATGTCTCAAAGTGCTTCAGACCCACAGAATACGTCAAGCCCCCCTCGTCAGCACAGTTAACCCTTTTCCTGGCACTGATGAGGCTGTTTCTGACTCTCTAAAGGTCCCTGTTATGACCTTGTGGGAGGGTTGTAAGTGACAGTAATCTCTTCATGCACCCCCCCACCCCTCATTGCTTCAAATTCTTTAACAGCACACCCCAAGGGCACCCCAGTAACGTCAAACCCTAGAGGGGAACACTGCCATACCAAAATAATCTAAAGGTTTAATCAATTTACATTAACAAAAACCTGTAGAATCTGTGTGGGAATGGACGCTGAGGGTGTTAGACACAGAAAGGAGGAACATAACTTTGATCAGACCAGTTTATCCGTATGGTTCACTTACCTGCAGTCACCATCTAGGTGCGCGCTCAAACCTCCGGGAGTGGTCTGCTTGGTTGATTAGCTAAACCTGAACTCCATGGTGGCCTGCGGTAAGTGAGGTTGAATGCCATAAATTCCCTGGTTTCATACAGAGGAAGGAATCCAGAGATTTAAGGAGAGCATCCAAGCAGCTCGTCCACCATTTAACTACGTTTCCTGTAGAGGTTCAGGAGAACATGCCTTCTCCAAGGACTGAGAAATGCATTGAGAATCACACCAGCAAAAGGAGTAGTAGTTTCTTTGAAAATCACTCTCTAAGCCAGAGATAAAGGACGGAAATTCTGCCATTGAAATGGACTTCCTTATTTCAAAGGGAAAGATGAGATGAGGTCCTGGAGGATAGTACAGGCCAAGTAACAGCACTTGGCCGCAGAGGCAACATGGTTACCATCGTGGACAGCAGGACCCTAGTGGGATCAGAATGGTTAGGTCTGCAGGGATCTTTGGTGTGGTCAGTTGACCGTGGGCTCTGCAGGACAAAAGTAGGTGTTCAGACTACTGAGATCCCATTTGATCTGTTTAACCCAAAAAGAGACTCTAGGTATACCCAATAATTTAAAAAATAATAGGCAAAAAAATGATAAACGATATTTTGTATAGTCAGGATAAAGTAAGTGTTGGTAACTGATTTAAATAAAATTGTGATAAAATATATTGGGAAGACTGAAGAGACGTGAGGAGATATAGAAGAACCTCATAAAAAAATAAGTATATGATATTTAATGCATTAAATCATGAAACAGCATCACAAGCTCGTTATCTGGGGATACTGAGTCAACAGCAGAAGAAATGCCTGACAACGTTCAAAGTGATGGCCTCCGGGGGCAAAACCAGAAAGAGGGGAGGTGTGCTCGGGAGTTCGTGCCAGGCAACATTTAGATTTGAAATTTTTGAAAAGTTAAAGTTTTGAAAAAAAAATAAATGTCTTGAAGAGCTACATTCTCCTCACAAACCCCTTCCCCTTGCAGCCCTTCAGGCATCTGCAGACAGGGCTCATGTCACCCAAGGTAGCTCTTCCCTAGGCCAAACGCCCCCAGTTCCCATTGGTCTGGCCTCTTCCTTCCTCCCTGGGAGGTTATGTAACCTGCTCAAGGTCACAAAGAGAGTAGGTGTCACAGTCCAGAGTGACATTTGGGGCTCCTTTGACAGATAGCAGAATAGGAACCTCTCAGGGCAGGGCCCTTGAGTTCCCTGGTGCCGTGACTCAGTTCCCCGGGTGACTCTGCAGGTAGGCTGGACAGAGAGTCATCCCTGAGGAATCATCCCACACTGACTCCTGCCTGAGGATGCCCCATGTGAGCAGAGACTGGCCGCCCAGCCCCACCTGAAGCAGGACTTCTTATCTGGCTTTTCTGGGGCATGTTCCTACATATGTCAATAAGCAGCAAATAGGTACAATAAATCTCCTGCATACAAACCAACAAGTTTCGAACTTTCAAAGATTCGAACATGCATTCACATGTCCAATCACGTAAGTTAGTTCACGTGTCTGGTGTACATTGTCACGTGCGCGCATCCTCTACAAGTGGTTGTGCTTTTGTGTACTTTACTGTACAGTACGGTTGCTGTGCAACACGAGGAGCTTTTACTAATGAGGACCTGACGGAACTGGAGGCCCAGAGAAAGGATGAAGAGAAACAAGAGGAAGAAGAAGTAACTGAAGAACCGAAGAGATTCACGATGCAGGAAATGACAAGGGGATTTTCTTTATTTGGGGAGGCACTGTTAGTTTTTGAGGCACAGCACCTGAAAGTAGAATGGTACACAAAGGTTGCAGCAGCCGTTCAGAATGCAATCCAGTGCTACCATGTCATTTATGACAAGAAAAAAAAGTTACTACCCAGACATCACTGGATCGTTTTTCAAGAGAGTAGATAGAATTGAATCCAGCTAGGAGCCAGAACCTGTGCCATCGACGTCAGGCATGAGTGAAATTGCAGCTTGCCTTCCATCTCTTATTGCTGACAATCCTTCAGCTCTACCATCTCCCACCTCTTCTCCCTCCTCCAGTCAGTAACTCTTCTTGCCTGTTCACTCGATGCCCCTGGATGCCAGCTGTTGGACTGTACCACTGTATTTTTCAAGGTACTGGACTGTAAGATTAAAAATGTTTATTTTTTAAAATTAATTTATTTATTTACTTATTTTTGGCTGTGTTGGGTCTTCGTTGCTAAGCGTGGGCTTTCTCTAGTTGCAGTGAGTGGGGGCTACTCTTCGTTGCAGTGTTCAGACTTCTCATTGCGGTGGCTCCTCTTGTTGTGGAGCACGGGTTCTAGGTGTGCGGCATCAGTAGTTGTGGCGCACGGGCTCAGTAGTTGTGGCACGTGGGCTTAGTTGCTCTGCAGCATGTGGGATCTTCCTGGACCAGGGATTGATCCTGTGTCCCCTGCATTGACAGGCAGATTCTTAACCACTGCGCCACCAGGGAAGTCCCAAAATGTTTTTGTTACTTTTGTGTTTTTTTTGCAGTACGTGGGCCTCTCACTGTTGTGGCCTCTCCCATTGCGGAGCACAGGCTCCGGACGTGCAGTCTCAGCGGCCATGGCTCACGGGCCTAGCCGCTCCGCGGCATGTGGGATCTTCCAGGACCGGGGCACGAACCCGTGTCCCCTGCATCGGCAGGCGGACTCTCAACCACTGTGCCACCAGGGAAGCCCCAAAATGTTTAATTTTTGTGTTTGTTTTTTATGTATTATTTGTGTGAGAAGTATTATAAAGCTATTACAGTACAGTACTATACAGCCAATTGTGTTAGTTGGGTAGTTAGACTAACTTTGTTTCACTTACAAACAAATTGGACTTACAAATGCACTCTCGGAACGTAACTCGTTCATATGTAGGGGACTTACTGTACTTTCATGAATACAGCCAATGTGGCAGAGGGGAGGTTAATACCCCATTTCGTAGATGAAGAAATTGAGTTTAAGGGAATAAATGACTTATTCAAGACACACCATGGATACAATGCACATTTGGAGCCAGGCCCGATGCTAGTGCCTCTGTGTCCTTACCTTTCTGGGATGTGTTCCTGCATACTGCAATATCAGCAAACATGAGATATTCCAACTCTGAGCCAGGCCCTGGGGTGCAGGTTCAGGTGGAGAGGAACGGAGGGGACTGGGTCAGGGAGACCCAAGTCTATGTGCTGAGTCAAGGATGTACACACTCACTGGGCGGCGGAGGGCAGGGTATTCATCTCTACTTTATAGATGAGGAAACTGAAGGTCAACAGCTCAGATGAGTTGTCCATGGTCCCACAGCTACTGTGGAGAGCGGTAGTAGTGAAGGTCATGGACCCTACGGCCAGACCCCTAAGGTTTGAGCCGGCTCTGGGGCTGCTCTGGGTAATTACTTGACCTTCCTGTGCCTCTGTTCCTTCTCTGTCAAATGTGGATACTAACAGATGTCACTTCTCAGGGTTGCTGAGCCAATGCACATAGAGAACCAAGGGCAGGGCCTGGCTGTGCTGCCTTCTCCCTGTCACTCACTCCCTGTTTGGGAAGGTCAACGGATGCCTCTGAAATGAGTGTTCAGAGACAGCGTGAGCTGCCTCAGAAATCAGGAAGCAGGAGGGATCCCTGGCTTACAATCTGGAAAGAACAGAGCAGATGCCTGACCCCTGCGTGATCTGCCTGTACACAGCAAGATGAAATCAGCTCTGTGAGCACAGAGGAGAAAGGATGTAAACCCCAGACCACTCTGTCTTGAAACAGTTTGGACTGAAACCGGCTGAAACAGTTTGTGGAGACACCTTCCACACGAGGGCCACTTAGCTTGACAGGGCTCAGGTCACAGGCAGGCGGGGCCTGGGGTCAGGAAGGAGGAAGTCTGGCTGCTGCCAGCACTTTTATGACACAGCCATGAATCCAGGCCATGGAGAGACACAGTGGTTCTATTAATTCACTGGGCAAAATCATGAGGCAGGTCCTTGCTCAGAGACAGCGATGGCCGGCCTGCTGTGACAGCTGCGAATGGCACTGGCTTGTCTGATTCCAGAACATACATTGCTGGGAGGCAGAAGGCAGAGAGTGGGTGTGGCCTGGACTTCAGTGTTGGACCCTGGGCGTGAGTCCCCCCACCTCCTTCAGTTGCGTGATCTTGGACCTCCAAACTCTTGCTCACCCAGCTGTGAAACAGAGATGCAGGGGACACGGGTTCGTGTCCCAGTCTGGGAGGATCCCACATGCCGCGGAGCGGCTGGGCCCGTGAGCCATGGCCGCTGGGGCTGCACGTCCGGAGCCTGTGCTCCGCAACGGGAGAGGCCGCAACAGTGAGAGGCCCGCGTACCGCCAAAAAAAATAAAAAACCCTTGCAGAGAGTCTTTGAAGACTATGGTACCTCTTTTCCTTTTTCTTCCACAATAAAAATAGCTCTTTATTTTTTGGCTTATGTAAATAGTACCTGCTTATGGTGATCAACTTAAACAATACAGAAAGTTAAAGAAAAGCAAGTAAAAACCACTTGAAAGTCCATTTCCCCAATGAAAACCCTTAATGTTTTCAGGCCAGCCTTACATGCATCTGTTTATGACTCTAACAAACCCGTATACTTAATATCCCATCGCTGGGACAGTAACAGTGTGTACTCTGTATCATGAACATCTTTTTAAAATCAGCCTTTTTGTTCCCCTTCCCCCTCCCTCTCTCCTCTTTTCATTCCTTCCTTCCTCTCCCACCACCCCAGGTAATTTACTTTAACCAAGTGGTATGTATCCTTCCACAGTATTTTTAGGCTCATATAATCATATATATATACAGTTTTGGCCTTTTGTCTAATAAAAATAAAAATTATATTAAAAATATACATTTATCTGTGTCTTACTATTCTCACAAAACAGCATGAAAATCCTTCCAAATCAATAGTTCTAGCTCTAACTCATTGCTTTTTTTTTTTTTTTTTGGCGGTACGCGGGCCTCTCACTCTCATGGCCTCTCTCGTTGCGGAGCACAGGCTCTGGATGCGCAGGCTCAGCGGCCATGGCTCACAGGCCCAGCCGCTCCGCGGCATGTGGGATCTTCCTGGACCAGGGGACGAACCCGTGTCCCCTACATCGGCAGGCGGACTCTCAACTACTGCGCCACCAGGGAAGCCCTAACTCATTGTTTTTAATGGCTGCATTCTATTCCATGGTAAGGAGGTACTACAATTTATTTAGCTATTAACTCTTCCTCCCTAGATGAACATGAATTTTGTTTCCAGTTTTGTTATCAGGAACAATGCTGCCAACAAAAATGTTTTGTACATAAACCCTTCCATGCTTGCATTCTCATTTCTGTGATACAGATTCTAGGAGTGGTATCGCTAGGCCAAAAAATGTCTGTGGTTTTCATTTTAATAACTATTACCAAATTGCTTTGGCAAATAGATGTTGCCAAATTGCATCCTTCCCCAAGGTTCTTAGTTTGAACATTTTTTGCCAATGTGATGGATGAGCAGCTGGATCAAACCAGCCTAAGTCAGCTCAAATGGCAAAAATTAGTCCAAACAGGCCAAGACTCACCTCTGCCTGATGAACCTGTAATAAATGGGGTCTAACCAGATAAAACCAGCTCAGACTGGCCCAAACCAAATCAAAATGGAATAAATTAGTCCAAGCTTGCAAATACTTTCAACCATTCCAACTTTCTTCAGCCTGTGAACTAAAATATTGCCTGCCATATCAGTAAACAAAGGATGTTGCAGCCACCCAGCCATCACATTACACCTGCCCCAATGGTGAGCCCTGAGGGAACTCAGGATGGAAACAAAGAATGCCCGCCACCTAGCAGTCAACTACTGCAGCCGCCCCCAGCAGTGCACCCCGAGGAGACTCGGGATGAGAAAGCACAGGGTGCTGGCCCCAGATACCTGAGGTGCATATCAAATGACATCAGTGAGCCCAGACTCTTGCCTCTTCCCATGTACAGACAAGCTCTAAATTCCTTAACCTGAGATGTCTGGTTTTCTTTTATTAACAGTAATATTTTGATGTTCCAACTACCTGGTCTTTGTAGCAAAAACTCCTATATATCCTGGCTCCCTGCCTTGCCTCTTCAGAACAGTTTCTCAGAGTTATCTGAGATGCTGTGTCTGGGGCCTGAAGTCCTCGGAATGTCCACCAAATAAAACCTAACCCTCAACTTTTAGGTTGTGCATTGTTTTTTTCAGTCGACAAACCTCCTCCTGGTTTCAGAAGAGCCACTCACTGAGCAATCAACATGGTCCCAGTGTCTGCGTGCTGGGCAGCCTAACCCACATTGGCTCTGTTCAGTGCATTCTGTAACAGCAAAAATCTGCTAAAAGATACAGCAGATCTTTTGCTCCTTCTTAGTTCTTTGGGTTACAAGAAAATCACCTTCACACTCAATCACTCAAAGGGGATTTCTTAGCAGGAAATTGAGGCATCTCAGAGACCCTAGGAAAGGCAGAACCAGGAACTGAGAGGCCGTCGGGAGCTGAGGTGGCCACCTCTCTCATTCATGTCTTCATTCTGGCTGTACTTGGAAGTGGAAACCAAGACCCAGGCAGGAGAGTGGCTTGCTAAGGACCAAGAACCCACTGGGAGCAGAGCCACATCAGGGTTGTGAGGGACCCTCAGGGTGGGGGCCTAGAGGTCGAAAGCTGATGTTGGCTGGTAGGCACTGGCTGTGACCAGTGTCCTAACCCACCAGGAAGCCCTCAGGCCCTCACTGGCTCAACTTCAGTTGACCAGTGACCTTATTTTTCCTCCTGAATCCCCTGGAGCCCTGAGAGGTTTGGTGGGATCTGAAGCTATACGGATTGGGATCCTCTGTAAGATTTACGGGGAAAAAAGCAAAATTATTAGTACAAAATTGCTGTGAGCCCATTCCTGGGCCTTGAAAGTGGCTTAACAGAGTGAAGGACTTTGAGGTTTAAGTTTCATTCACTTTGTGATAAATCTGCTAGTCTGGAAGCAGCGGGAAGCAGAGCCCTTGAGGAAGAGGCCTTGGCTGGGCTGGCAGCCTCACCCTGGGCATTCTCTGTACACTGCTGCCCCCTTGAGGCCAGTCCAGGGATTGGGGCGGGAGCCTCAGGCTTTACAGTGAGAGCGCTGGTCCCCAGGTCTGAGGGAGGGCATGGAAATG